CGGTGGTCAACGGGCGAGTAGGGCGAAGCCTGCGCCAGGTTGGGTGACTGCCTGCTGTCGGGCCCGCTCGGTGGCATGGGCGGGCTGGTTGGCGGCATCATGCCACCCATCGGCATGGGCATGCCCGGGGCGATCATTGGCGACTGGCCGAGCTGAGCAGCCCGCCCGTCGGCAAAGCCGAAATGCGAAGGTCCAGGTGGTCCTACGTGGCGCACTGGCGATGCCATGCCTCCCGCCATGGGCGGTGGTGGACCGAATCCTGGGATGACGCCGGGATAGAAGAGCGCCTCGCCGTTGCGCATCGGGTTGATGTGCGGCCCGAGCGGCGCGGGCCCGAACGACGGACTCTGCGGTGTGGAGCCCTGCGAGCCTGGCGACGCGAAGATGGCTCGGCCAGGCATGGTGGGCGCATACGGATCGGGCGTGGTGCGATACGACTCGTAGCCAGACATGTCGATGGGCGCCATGCCCGGCAACATGTGGCCCATGCCGGCGTAGCCGTGCGCGTAGACATCGGGAGAGCGTGCGCCGCTGCCCGGCAAGTACGAAGATGGATGCATGAATCCCTCACCAGGGCCGAAGGGAGGCGGTGGGAAGGAGCCCGAAGCGCGATGTGCATGCCCCATTCCCACAAAAGCCGGAGGCGAGTGATAGCCGGAAGAGGCGAGATCGTGCTGCGGTGGCGCTGGGCCTGCGTCATCTGCGGCATCGTTGGTCACAATGCTGAGCGAGTCCATCTCGGCCACGAGTTCCTGGTCTTCCGCGGCGGCATCGTCGACCTCGCTGCTAGATTGCCTCCTGCCGGCCAGGTGACTCGGATCGAGCGTGGTTGAGCGTATGGGTGCGCGCTTGGGAACGGGTGCGGCCGGTTTGGCGATGCGGCTGGTGGACTGATTGGGCGATGAGGCGTCTGCAACAGTTGCTGTTGTTGAAGCGGGCTGGGCCTGTTTGGCTGCGGCAGAAGGGGGCTGGGCGAGCATGGTTTCGGAACGCTCCTGCTTGGCGTGACGCTTGACGGCGCTCGGGCTGGAGCCAGCCGCATCGGCGACGAGCTCAGCGGGTGCGGCCGGCCTGGTTGCGAGGTCGTTTGCCCATGTGAGCGAGCCGGTCCGTGGCATGGACCAGGCGGATCCATCCTGCGGTAGCAGTGGGGAGGGTGTGAACACGGGCGCGTTCGCCGCAATGTCCTTGGCATCGAGGGAGCTGAGGCCTCTGCTGGGAGTGCTAACGTTGGAGGTGGAAGCGGTGGTGACGGCATCGCCGTCCATGGTGGATGGAGGGCGGCCGTTCCAGAGGCTCGAGGGGCTGCCGTGGCTGGGGATCGAGGATTCCGACCAGGCGGGCTGTTCCAATTTCGACATGGCGACCGCGATAGTTCGACGGACGGACGAACGGGGCTGAGTGTGCGAAAAGGGACGATGGTCGTGAAAGGATCGGAAGGGCTAATGTAGGCCGAGATTGACGCTGCCGTTCGTGCTAGAATTCTGCTCGGGGCGATTCGAGGCTGATTGACGGCAAGCGCGGTACACGCACTTGTAGACGGAAGGGGAACTCGGCCAAAGGACGAGCTTAGAGGGTGGTAGGGAGCGTGTTCTACGCGCACGCTTCAGCGAGCATCTGGAAGACCGTAGAGCCGGCGGTGACTGAGGATCGTTGTCGTCCGAGTGAAGATTGAGATACCGAGACCGGTGGAGGGCGATGATGCGATGGCAATCCGCCGTGTGTCTGGTGGAGATGCAGAAGGTCGCAGGAACGACAGATGGCGGCGCTAGATCGACAGAGTGCTCAAGACGATGGAGTTGTCCATGAATGTGGGGGTCGGACCTGCCGCTGCCGAAATCAGTCTAGAGTGTATGCAGCTGCGACGATGCTGCTCCTGCTGAGGATGGTGAGAGGGAGGTGGAGAGTACGAAGGAAAGAAGGATCTAGGGTTTACAGGAGTGTGTGCGTGAGTGAGAGAGGAAGAGGGAGGGGGAGAGGGGCAGAATGCGGTGCGAGCACGGCGGAGGGGCGAGGCCAAAAAGTCAGGAAGGTCAGTGCGATGCGGTGCGATGCGATGCGATGTGATGCGAAGGGAGATTGCGGGCTCAGTCAGAATGGCAGCCGAGCCCGTAAAAATCACGGAATCTCGCCGCGATGATTGATGGGCACCACCTGAGCGAGCGTCGCTCCCCAACTCGCCTCGGCAAGCCACCGCCGCTTCAGAGACCTCAAAGCGTGAAAAGGCCGATTTCTGCCCTGCTCCTCCAACCTGGCCTGGCTGGATGTCCGATGTGCCGATTAGATTTCGGCCTTTTTTTTTTT